AATTTTCCCTGACCTTTTAAGTTAGCAAATACACTAGACCCAGGAGGAAGACATACAAGAAAACAAAACGAAACAAAACAAAAAATGCAGTGCAAATCTCTGTGACTCACACAATAGCATTTATTTCGTCCTTGTGTTTGAATATCTGGATGAACTGTGGTCTGTGTTTCATTACTCCCCATCTGGAGCTGTTGCCCGCTTTGTTCAGCAATTTCTGGTCATTTTGGCTTGATGGTGACTGTTTTGTTTTATGTTGCCACATTATACAGAATGAAAGCTGCTGCAGTCACCACCCAAGAAAGAATAATCTTGAAAACGAGAAGTTCCGTTGAAAGTTACTGATGGCCCCTTCCAGAATAACGAAGTGAGTGTGTGCATCTTGGGGCTGACTACTGTCCCTAACTAGGTGTGTGTGGGATGCAGGAGAAAACAAAATCCTTCCTTTTAGATGCTAAAATAGAATTAGATTCTGTTGGTTTAATACATCAAAGTTAATTTCGATACCTTTTCTTTTCATCTCGAATGAGACTAGGGCAAGGACTTTCTCATACTTTGCTAAACATTAACTTGCACATAATATGCTGCATGTGTAACAGCTTATGAGAAACTGAATTCATATCATTTCTTTAAAAAGAAAAATAAATAAATTCTTGACTTCATAATATTTGGTTTTAATTGCATAGCCTTCATCTGGAGGCAAAGTTGCAAATGATTCAACAGCAAGTGTCTCAGGTAAGACCAAGTCCAATTTGTGCTCTCTAATGACAGTCTCAATGCTCTTAGTTATTTTTCTTGAAAAGCAACCTCATGCATTCTGTTGCATCATTCCTTAAGAAAGCAATGGTCAAAAAGAACTCAATTTCTGCCTATTATTTTAAAAAGCAAAGCACGGGATTCTCTTCTAATTCTTTGCTATTTTCATCTGACATTATTTTACAAAAACTAAGAAACAGATAGTCACGAGTTACTCAGGTTTCATAGAAAGAACCAACAAAATTTAAACATAATTGATATCAGTTCAACTTTTCCAAGAGCTGTAATGTTTTTTTTTGTGCCTGAAAAGACAACAGAACAGATTTGGAGAAATGCTAAGATAATAATAAATCACCTATAATCTTACCACCTTAAGACAAATATTTTTGTTTTGCTTACTATATTGCCAGTATTTTACATATTGTGACATGAGGCATGGTCAAACTTTTTCCATGTATTAACTCTTTTCATCATCACAACACCCTGTGACTGAGGCTCTATTATTAGTACCATTTTATAGATGGGAAAACTAAGGCACAGCAAGGCTGAGTAATTTACCATAGGTCACAAAGCTACTAAGTGAACAAGTAGTGTTTAAACCAGGCAGTTTGGCTGTATCACAATCATAACCATACTGACTCTCAAATATTTACATAGCTCCATATTTAGTGTACACATTATTTTATGTGCTTCTATATTGATTTAAGTTATTATAATAAACATTTTTCAAGGTTTGACATAGTCTAGCCTTTATGACTACCAATTTAATAGCTACATAACAGTTGTATATGCTCCATAAGCTAGAATCCGGATGTTCCCTATATTTTTTCCTAGTATAGAGAATGAGAATGCTCAGAATTATGCCTATATACATATTTTAAAAATATATTTGAATAAAATATTTGGGACAATGTTCTCAGTGGAATAACTACTATCAACAATATGCCCTTTATTGCTCTTTCCACACTGACTCTTCCAATTTAGCATGGTAGTAATGAAGAATGGATAAACCAGCATTGGATGGCCTGCATGTTACAATGTTAGCTACTTGAGTAGATATAAACTATCACTGCAGATTGCTTTAATTTGCATGTTTCCGATCATTACTGAAGTTACTCTGAGGACACTAGTATCCCTTGTAGCTCTCTCAAGTTTCAGTTTGTTGTGTTTTTTTCTTTCACATCCCCCCTCCCACTGGACCTGCAAGTAGGGAGTCCTCCTTGTTCCTTTCTCAGTATGGTTTCTCCCCTACCTAAAAGTTGCAATTTAGAATGTCACATCATCAAATTGAGTAACCAACTAATCTTCATTTTCACCCCAGTATCATTCCTAGTTATTTCTCCACAAATATCCTCTGGATTGGTCACTTTTCCTAATACTACTCCCGCTTCATTTCTTGGCAATTCCAATAAATATGTAGACGCTTGTTTTAATACTCTGTCTTGTTAGTTGTATAAACTTCCTGATGACCTCACAACTCTCTCCCAACCTCAACATCTTGCTCCCTTTGTTGTCATTAACAATTATACACAATTTTCCATAAATGTAATTGTCTCTTCCTAATTGGATCTACTCATAACTATTTCAAGGTCCATATTCCTGAAAGGAGATACTATAAATAAGACTGAGTATATTATTAAAACAGTATTTTCCTTAAGAAAGCATGACACTGATAGTAGTATATTTCTGATCATGACTGCTTACTTTTAGGGCACCTCCCCCATGATGTGCTTAATAAAGGCTGTGATTCAGAGTCGCCATTGCTAACCACAGGCTGTAAATGCTGAGGCCAAAGCAAGGCACCTGGAGGCTTTTATAAGCATATAACTGCCAACTGGACATGTGATCACCCTCCCTTCTTTACATTATCCTCAAGTCAAAAGGTCTAACTCCTGACCTCCTATAGAGTGTCTTTAGCTTTCCTTCTATTAGTGATTTTGGTAGGTTGTTCCACAGTCCCTTTTTCCCTCCCTCCCTCCTTTACTTCATTCTTTCCTTCCTTCCTTCTTTCCTCCCCTTATTCTCCCCTTCTCTTACTCCTTTTCTTACTTACATATTTATTGGTGCTTAATATATTCAAACAAGGAGTCTCCAAACTATTTTTAAATTCATATCACCATGAATAAAAATATTTTGGAGCAGCAAGCCCAATATTTACATACGTATTTAAAATGTATGTATTTGTGACATTGTACTAATATATATTATAAAAGAGTCACAGAAAGTTGATATAAAAACAAAGAGAGATGACAGTTTTAATATATTCTTCTATTGTTCCCAATAAACAGTCTTGTATCTCTCTGCACATATCCCACTTTGGAGATAAGTATTCTATGGTATACGGGCCCAGTTTTCATCAGTTTTAGAAATCTCTCTGCAGAGATAGAAAATTAAATAAGCCATTGCATAAACAAAACACAGGTAGTTCTGTTAGGAGTTGAAGTAATCACAGTACAATTTGTCCAGATCTGTACACTCTCACCTCTCTTTGACTTCGCCCACATGGATACCATGCCAGGGCTTCTAAACTCAGCATGTCCAACATGTAATTTATCATCTTCTCCCTGAAACATACTACTACTACTTCTGGACTTCTTCACTCAGCAAATGGCACAGCCATCTTCCCCAGTCATGAAGGCTCGACTTCATCTCATACATAACAAATTCTACCTCTAAAAATGCTCATGGTGATCCCATTTCTATTACCTTAATATTAATAGCCAGGGTTACTTTTTTTTCTAATTTTCCTCTTGAACTATAGCTTTAAAATCTACATTTGTTTTCTGCTTCCACTGTCTCCCCTTGTAATTCATTTTCACTCACTTTTGCCAAAATAGCCTTTCTAAAACATATATAATTATATTGTGTCTGCTCAAAAACTATTAAGAGGTCCATGTTGCATACAGAATTAAGTTCAAAATATTCAAGGTATCATTTAAAAGAGACTCCAAAATCTTGATTCCTTTTTTCTCTCCACCAATATTCTTACTGGTCATTTTTCTATTCTAGCTACATGGATGAAGTCCATTACATTCTGAAATTCTTTCTCCTGAACATCAGCATGTCCTAAGCCCATTCATTCTGCTCTGCCTTTATAAATTTCATTCCCCAAAAAGGAATCTCCATAGTTTCCTCTAACAGTAGTTTGCGGATACTTCTGTTTTAGGTATTTCTGTTATACTCTCATATATATTAGGGTGAGATATTCAATCCTAATAAGGATATTATAATTAGTTTCTTTTCTTTCTTGGTTTCTTTTCAACTAGAAATTGAACTATTAGGTGGCAGAAACCATGTCTTATTAGTCTTTGTCTCATACTATGTGCTGCATTTCTGAGTTTATGGGAAACATGGAATGCATTTATTTTTTAACTGCTGGATTGAATCTGATGACCATTACCCAAACAGGTTAAGAGATACATATGATTTTCTGAGTGTTCTTTCTTAAAACTTTTGCACTTTCTATTTGTATGTGAAATAGGGGCAGTATTTAAAATGATCTTGGCTCTACCACACTTCTTGATTTCAGTAGTACAACAAAAACTGGATTAGAAAAACAACAAATAATATATGTTACAAGAAGCGTTCCAATTTTCCAGTAAGAACTGAGTCATGCAAGAGAGAACATATAGATTTTACAAATAATTTAACACAACTTTTAAAAGACCATGGGATTCCCAGACATGATGAAACATGAGCCACAGATATAGTCAAATGGCTTCAGAAATATTTCCGGGGGGGGGGGAATGCCTGACTTAATAAGATACCAACTCTGAAATCCCATGAGATTCTTATAGCTGAAGCTTACATACAATGGGCCCATCAGTAAATTCATTCCTAGTCAACCAATGTTGCTAAAGCTTTAAAGAACAGAGAAATTAAAACCTGTTTTGCATGGGGAAGTTTTCCCCAGAGTTCCTCATTTTTATATAGGAAATCAATTTGCATCACTGATGATATCATTCAAATCAGACAACCCAGAGTTGTTAGGAGGTAATTTAGTTTTATGCTGAAGCAATTTGATACTTGTTCTGATTTGTGATTTTCATTTTGTTTGTTAATGGAAAAAATTAATGAGCAATGTTACTAGAAATACAACCCTTCAAAGCATCAGTGTTATTAAAGAGGTTTGCCATATACTATACATTGTGATCACTGTGCAGCTGGTGCCTGGACCTCTGTGAAGGAGGATCGATCAATGAAACAGCGTAGGCAAGAGCTCAGGGTACAGATGCCCTTACACATACCTTTGCACTGATTTGTGTTTTTGTCAAGAATTGCCTTTGTGGATACAATTTTTCCATACCTGAAAGAGAGAGAGAAAAAAATCCATGTTATTGTAACCCCATGAAGACGCTTAAAATACTCTAATGAACACCAGGGCACACACAACTGAGCATGGATAAACCAAGAAAACAAGCTCTGAATTCCCATTTCACACCTGAATGATCTCTTTTCACCAGTTCTTTATACCTCAGGAATGTGTTTCCCTATGTAAGCACTGGGTTGAGGCTTCAAATATAAACCTGTCAGGCTGTCATAGGTGGCCACAAGGAGATTGCATGTGATTGTGATCACAGTAAAAATTGCACCCTGTGGATTCACAGAAGAAAGTGTGGACCTTGGCTCCGGCCTGAACACAGGGTTTGCATCCAGCTCTTACTCTTACCTAGTGTTACGACTTGGAAAAGTTCAACTTGACTTCTCCAAACAACAGTTTTTTTTCCATCTGTAAAAATGAGAAGCTATGTATATCAAATTTTCTGGTTCAATCAACTTTCATGCCTTTGAGAATTCAGATACTGTATTAGGCTCCAGGAGCAATGTGGTATAGCAGTTAAAAGAATATATACTGTGACACCAAACCGCCATGGCTCAAATACTAATTCATGCTGGGTGTGCGTGGTTGGCTAAGTCAGTCTTATGTTTTTGCATCATATCATCATCTATACTGATATAAATATATTTGTTTAAAAACAATTTAGGTTATTATTTATTTATAATGTCAGTATGTTTATAAATATATAAAATGATAACACTGTCTTCCTTATAACATTGTCAGCCCTCATTTTTGTGAGGGTTAAAGGGGGTTTATCTAGGATGCTGAGGACAGTGACTGACGCAGAGTAAGTGCTCATTAAATGTTATTAATAGCTCTTATTCAAGTTCCTCTCTTCCTGTTATCTGCTACATAAAAATGTCTCCAGTCCTTGGCATTCTCTGAGGTAGATGAGAAGTGGAAGGGCATGAAGATTCTTTCCCAAATAACAGCTTCAAACATGACTTCTCAGACTGTCAAAATCTTCCACTAAGAAATTTGTCAGGTAAATTTATTTGCTAAAAGATAATTTACATTATTATTTTTAATATTAGAAACTTCATTAACTATGTTGTCATGTATTTATTTACACAAATACAAGTTCAAAGCATTTTGTTTATTTAGCATTATCAAAATGTCTATTATCATACAAGTTCACTCCCTCTATGAACTTCCAAACCTCTCCTTCCCATGCCCCCCAAAATATTTTCTTTCAAGCTCTATTATATTTCATCCCAAGAGTTTTTCTGTTGAGAAAATAACCAGTAAAATGATATCATAGTTAAACAGTCTCTTCACTAGACAGTGATTAATGGTAACCACAATTGGAACCATTAACTAGCTGTAATGTTTACTAGATTTGGGCTATTTAGGCAAATAAATATTTGCAAAATTATATGTACCTTAGGGTATTAAGAAAAAGACAAGAAAGGGAAATATTGCTGAAACTGTTTTTCCACACAAAACACCAATAATACAGTATGTGAGAGGTAACAACAGACATAGAAAAGGAATTTAGAACATTTATAACCATCACACATCAAGCATATAAAGGCTTATATCAAAAATCCTTCTTAATTAGTTTCTAAAGCTGCACTTAAAATTTTTATGTTAAGTATCTTCTAAATTAAAATTTAGCTCTGTCTTTTTTTTTTTTTTTCCAAGAAAGGGTCTCACTCTGTCACAAGGGCTAGAGTGCAATGGCATCATCATAGTTCACCACAACCTTACACACCTGGGCTCAAGCAATCCTCCTGCCTCAGCCTCCTGAGTAGCTGGGACTATCAGTACCAGGCTAATTTTTCTATTTTTGTAGAGACAGGGTCTTTCTCCTGCTCAGGCTGGTCTTGAACTCCTGATTTCAAGCCATCCTCCTGCCTCAGTCTCCCAGAGTGCTAGGATTATAGGCCTGAGCTACCATGCCCAGCCTAGCTCTGTCTTTTAAAGATCAAATTAAAAATTACTGTATCTCATAGTGCATTACATTTCATAATTGGACTCTTATCCTATGGTGTGCATATTGTCCTATTATAGCAATATTATTATACAAGGATATTCTCTACTTTATTAAATATAGTATATGTAAAAAAAAAAAGGCTATCGTTTTTTACAGCAAAAAAAAGTATTTTGGCAAGCTATGTTTTTCTAAAAAAAATACTTTATTTCCCAGAAAGTATTACAATATTACTAAAAATGGAAAATCACACACATACCCCCCCCACCCAAAAAAAGCAAACTGTGCTATTTCCTGATTTCTCTATTCATAATTACACTCTAGGCAAGACTTTTCAATAGTACAGAGTCACAAAACAATGGAACATAACTCAGGGTACTTGACACAGCCTCTACTCTGACTGGAGTTATAGGAATTTCATTCTTTGGCTCAGTTACAACACTCTGCATTAACAATTATTTTGCAAGGCTAGAATATGCTTTAAACAACAAGAGAAGGTACTTAATGGGCCACTGGTTACAGCTCATGTCTGAACTCACAAGACGACAAACAGGTACTTTCCGCATGACTAGTGCTGCATTCTTCATGATCTGCAAAGTCAACAACGGCTATAGGTAAATAAAGTTTAGACTGTTTTTCTAAAGACCTAAACCACCATAAACGCAATAGCCACCAATACAATATACTTGTGAAGAATTATATTAATTTGCCTTCCTGATATTTGAATCAAAGTACATTAATTGACTAGAATAAAAACTGCTATATAGACTAAAATGGCATATTTTTTTTTTTTTTGCACATTTTGAAGAAAGATTTCTGAGGTAAAAGGTATTCCTAGATGTATATTGCCTCAGTTACTTCCTCTTCCTCTTCTTAGGGTTCAGATCAAGACCTTTAAGTCTTCCTAAAGTTTTTCTTCAACTATGCCACCCACTAGTGGAAAGCAAAATCTAATAGTAAAGAAAAATATGTGACCAAATTGCTAAATAATGCCTGGAAATAGACACCTGAGAACTGGTCCCATGTGCTTCCTGGCTCCTAAAGCTTTCAGACAAATCCAATTCACTTCTCTATCCTTTCATTTCCTACAGCTAGAAGAGATAAAATACTATGCACAGTCAACTTCCTTGGGGATTTGAACTTCTTGGGGGAAACAAATAAATGAAATAAATACATTTTATACTGTAATTCTTTCCATGTGGGCCTTCTCTAGCCAATGTGAGAAACCGCTAATACAGCATTGCTGAGATACATTTTGGAAAAAAAGTATGTAACTGCATATCATATCTACATATTCTCCAACTATCCCAAGTGCTCATACGTTTTCCAAATACAGCCAGGTCTCAAAGAACATGTTCTTTATATTCTAAGAGTACACTATAAAAGAGTAGCTCTTCTACAAATAACTACCCACTTATATTTTTTAGTTTTCATAACTGAATTTTATTAATTCATATGCTGTCTATTAACTCTAAAATACTTTTACCCTAGCTTGTCAATACAAGTTTTACATTTAATTTTTAAAAGAAATAACCAGTTCTTTTCTGGCATTTATTTTTAGTCTTAAACAGCATCTGAGTCAAACTTTATTTGTTGATACACTTGATTATTTCACATACAAGCCTAATTTAAACTAATGGCATCTTTTATTTTTGAAAGTTGAAGAGAAAATAGAGCTATTATGGGTGTACTCTTCATAAATTATGAAGACATCAAATTGGTGGGATCTTTCTATAAAGAATTTATTTTTAAACCCTTTTGCTGAATCACCCACTGTGTATATTAATTCAAAAAATACAGGCAGAGACTGAAAATAGTCTCCGCAGTCAATTAACTCTCAGCTAACTCATTTTTCACATGCCTTCTATATTGATACCAGACTAGGAAAAGGTATCACATTTATTTAATGCATGAAACATTATCCTTTTAGCAAATGTGGTTGTTTGCCTACTCCTAGATGGCTCATTCATTCTTTGGCATTTGGGGATGTTAATGGGGCATATGTGTAGTTTTAGGGGGCCAGTTGGAATGTGGTGGGGCTATCTCTCTGATGGAAGACATCAGCCAGGTTTCATCTACAAGTCCACAACTCATTAATATTCTGAAACATTAACAAGTTCAAGGTACAGACAAGGGGTCAAAGCCTTGCACAACTGTTGTTGGCTGAATTGTGCCCTCCCCCAATTAATATTAATATATAGACTTTGTTATCCCCACCACCTCAGAATGTGACTGTCTTTGGACATAGGTCCTTCATAGAGGTAATAAAGGTAGAAGGTCATATGGGTGGGCCCCAATCCAATATGGCTGGTGAACTTATAGGAAGAGAGAGGCACACCGGTAAGATGAGTTGAAGGCATAGGGGGAAGATGGCCATCTACAAGCCAAAGAGGAAGGTCTCTGAGGCAGCAACCTTGACAACACCTTGATTTCATACTTCCAGCCTCCAGAACTGTGATAAAATAAATTTTTATTAAGCCACCCAGTCTGTGGTACTTTGTTCTGGCAGCCCTAGCAAACTAATACAATAATTTCTCCAAGCCCTCTGAGCTTTGGAAAAGGAAACAGAGGTGAGATGATTCAGCTGATAATACTCTTTTTTAAATGCTCAACAATTTTGATTTTGCACTTGGCCCTTCCAAGCCATCACCTAAGACCTCCAAGCTCTTTCTCATCCAACATTTGTGTACGATAACAGAGGCCAAGAAGTATCACAGTGTTACACAGAGCAGATAACTAATAATCTAGAACCTAGTCTTTGGCCATATAGTCTGGGTACTCTTTCTTTCCCCTCAGAGATAAACACTTTAATCATGGACCCACATGAAGTAAATTTCATAAGTCAGTTGTACAAACCAAAATGTCTTTATTAACATACAATTTGTAACACCTTACAAAGAACACAAAATAAGAGTCTCTAGCTGGGAAAATTAGAGAAAAGATTTTAGAAGAGGAAGCGTTTGATGAAAGGGCAACATTTTGACAAACAGAAATGATATTTATTCTTCTTAGGAATAAAAAAAAACAATCCCCC